GCAGTGATTTCAGCACCAGGAATAGCAGCCAGCTGTAGACTGCCTGCAGTAAGCAGCCAAGCGCAATTGGTGTATCTAATGTGTTCCAACCACGGAAAACCACTGAGAAAGCAGCAGAATCTCAGAAATTCAGGAAACACAGAAATGACACAACATCCTTCTCGAATTGTTTGAGAGGCAGGAAGCAGAGTTAGGATAAAAGAGACGTTCTCTAACTTGCGAGCAATGACGTGATGCCCCTCAAGTTGTACAAATGTAAAGGGGAGTATGTCCAAATATTCAGGTGCCACTAAGCTCGGAAGCAAAGTAAAAGGTGATAACACAAAGAAGGTGCTGACACCTCCCAACGTGAAAGGCGCTATGTAACCTCAATTTGTTGTTGTTGACAAAGTAAATAGGGAACATTTCCTCATTCAACAAAGCAAGAAAGCTTGAATGCAACTCTTCATTTGTAGCCAGGTTTCTTCTACAGGAGATAACTCTTTCTTTGCTCTCTGCACGGTAAATAAAATCATAATCGAACCTGTACTGTGCTCTACGCAGTCCCTTCACAATTGAAGTGGCTTTGTCCATTTTTATTGAAGAGCCTTCACTGTAGAATTAATGCATTTAAGTACTACTCCACTGCTGCTTTTGTCCAAGCCTTATGTCTTTCCCCTCTCACTTCATTCTTGTGATTATTTATTCATTGAAAGTGCGGAAAATCAGGAAGCTCAATTGTTTCTTACTTAGCCAGATAACTGCCCAGGAACAGGCCAGTGAGCACCCCCACAAGCAGCCAAGTGCATTGATGTTTTAGTCAGTAGAAGTGCATTTTAGTCAGTGAATGAACTGAAATCAAGGTCATTATGTCACCAATAATGGGTGACGGTGAAAGAGAGCAGAATGCCTGATTTCATTGAGAGTGAGAATAAACACAAAACAAGGTTCATTGCTGACTGCTTTTAGATACACACGTCACTTAAAAGTCACTAATTTAAGCGATGGCACTGCTCACAAACCGCTACGTTTCACTGAATAAACAGAAGTGCTTTTATGGTTTCTATGCAAGCTATTAAATCTATAAACATTTATCTACTGGTCTATGAATCAAGATTGGAATAGGCTGTCCAATTCTTTCTTGATAATACTGCATCAGAAACACTTAATAGTGAAAGTTAAAAGAACCTTTTATTTACATCCAAGTCTTTTATTGTCAAAATGATTTTTTGATTTATATCAATTTCTAAAACTTTTCTACAGTAACTTGCTTCAGAACATGGAAGCTGCAATCTTCCTTTTTAAAGTAAATGTCTCTTTTATTATTAAGCACTGCAGTTAAGGTGCAGTGGATTAGGACTTCCATCCGATATTAATATTTGTGCATCAAAGAATGGAATGACACAAGGTAAAGAGCAGCATCAACTGATTTCTACGTGAGAATTGCTGCAATTATAGATATAGATAAAATCAATTTTGAGGGGAGAAAGGACATTTGCTGCAAGGAGGGACTGTAGCAAAGAGGGAAAGTTTTTTTTTAAATAACGGCAAATGAAGAAGTGTTCCACTTCGAATTTCTAAGTTAGAAGCAATTTGTGAGACATTACTCAGCCCTACCCTAGGGGTACTTTAGCTTGAACAGCAGCGCCTTGAACATTCAGCAAAGCCCGACTCATTGAGAAAATGGCTGCACTTTCACTTTGGAAACTGCTTCTGACTCTTAGATGCCTCAGATTAATTTCTGAAAAGGAAACTCCACAGGTAAGTGCAATCCCTGAGCTCGCCTATGAAAGGGAAACATTCCTTTTAGTTTTACATTTTGCATTTTCATCAATGGGGTGCCTCACTGGATAATCACGTCCTCAACCCTTTGCTCTTGTTACTGTGGAAATAGCTGTAATCTTAGTTGTGTTTTCTTACTCCATTTTCTTCCTTACTCTGTTCCAATATCCCCTGGTTCCACCTGGTTGCAATTCTACAAGTATCTGATGGAGAACAGCGGGGAGGTATTTTCAGTTTCTACGGGCAGCCTAGTTGGACAGATGCTCTACTCCTGTCTGAAATTGTCACTGTTACTCTGAGATTAACAATTCTGGAACATAATGGATAGTGACAATATAGTGGGTGGAGAGCATGAGGCCATGATTGAAGAGTGGAGAATGCTGATTGATGAATGCTCTTTGCAGATTTCCCCAGTAGAAGTTGAATGAAGTCCATGATAGTGTTGTTTTTGCATGGTCTGTGGAGGAAACCTTTTCCTCAATCCTGGCCGGCTTCAGGCAGACTTGCTGAAAAGAAGACTGTGTACAGAGTCAACAAAAGCTTTCCCCAAATCACTCCAATTTGAGTTCTGGAACAGTACTGAATGGATGTAGCTCTTCAGTTTTGATCAACAACAACAACTTGCATTTATATAGCGCCCTTCATGTGGGGTAATGTCCCAGAGCACTTCACAGTCTGACAACGAGCCAGAGGAAAGTGGGAGGTGATTGTAAGCACGATCAAAAAGAAAGATTCTCAGGGGAGTTTGAAGATGGGGAAGGAGGGGGCAAGATTGAGGGATTGAGTTGCAGAGTTTCAGAGAGTAGTGGCTGAAGGCACGGCCACCAAAGGTGGAACGGAGTGCACATGGGACAAATAGGAGGCTGGAGGCAGGGGTTGAGTGGGAGATAAGTAGATCGGAGAGGTAGGGAGGTGCGAGGGAATTAAGTGATTTGAAAACGAGCGAGAGAATCTTGAAATCGAAGTATCAATTGGGGCCCAAACGTCCAAAAACAAAGGAAAAAGATGCAAAACAAGCATATACAATGCACCTGAACAAAGCACATCCTAAACAGAGCAGGATATCCTTCTTGCCTCCAGCAGCCATGCTACCAAATCGCTCTAGTCTTAGGCTAGAAGGCAAACCGCTTCCCTGGGGTCTTTCAATTATTTTCAGCAATTCTCCCCAGTGCCATGTATATTATACAAATATTGATGGCTGCAACAGGAAACTATTGACCCCCTGTTTCCAGAATGATTGCTGTTCTGTTGCCAAAGCTAGGTCAATAGTTCAAATACTACAACCCTCAACCACAGTCAATATTTGCATAATACATGTGGAATAAGGCAATTCAAGAAAAAAAAATTGAAACGTGCTTTTGTACATTTATACATGAATTTCAGACATGGCTGGTTCATTCAGAGAATATCTATTATGTTAGATAAAGTTTACAACATCAAGAAGAGGCTCGTGGCTATCCTTTATATCTTCCACTGGAACCACGACTCCTGGAATTCCCTCTACAAATCCCACGACGGATCAGTTGTTCACTGGCACTGATGATCACCATTTCAAAGTGATTACTTATGGATCCAGCTAAAGGTCACTGGTGAGTTGACTGCATGAACAAGCCGGCAGATTTAACCAGTGATGTAATAAGGCGAACAAGATAAATTTACAAAAAGCGCTTTTTCAAAAAAACACCTGATAAGAGCAGTCTCATAAGCATGACAAACATGTGTGTTTCAAGAGACCACATTATTTTGATTTCACCCGTACCCCCCTCCCTCGCCACACACACACATATTAATATATGAAGAACAGCAAATTACTACTTGAAAACTAAACACTTTCAAACAATACCAGTCCAGCTCCTATCAAGGAAAGATGGCTGTGTCGTTTCAATGAAGTCAATAGCTGACACAATCATGGGAGGAATTGTCTACTGTGTGAGTCTCATATTTGAGAGAAATATTTAATACAAATTCCACTATAATGTAGGATTGTTGAGACTGCCTACACAAGTCCTTACCTGTATAGCAGTACTATGGAACTGATTACTTTGGTATTTTCCTTCTCAGCTCCATCATCCAATTCAATACGAAGCAAAGTTACAGATGCGAGAGCATTTAAAATATGCTGTAAACCTCTGCCACCTCACTACGTCAAGGATTAACACAAATCAACCCCGTCATGCCTTCAGCAAAGCGATGGCTGCACAATGCAAAAACTATTGTTAGAGCCCAACTTCTCAGTAACTTTAACCAACTGCTCTGAAGCTTTGACACTAGCCACCCAATTAAACAAATGCTCAATGACAGGTCTGTGCTCTAACACACGGTGGCAGAGCAACTAAATGCTCCCTTTACTATCCTCCCTTTATGTGAACTGTCAACAAATTCTTCCTCGAGAATTGGTAATAAAAGACATTGGATACAGCTCTAATAGGTGTGGAGATAAAATCAATAGCCTCGTGAGTCACAGGTCAGAGCGAATCTACTACCTTTCTGTGATAAGCTCAAATGGAAGATTTTCTAAATGCCTATAAACATGAACATCCACCTTTAGAAAGAAGAGTGCCATATAAAAATTGGGCATATTGTACGTTTTCCTCTTTAGAGTGTCTGTGCTCATTAAGGCAAAGGATGACACGATTGGCAAGCAGAACGTTTGCTTCTTTGCACCTGTCAACAGTGCTGACACGAAAGGGGTCGGGTGCAGCGCGAATCAGATGCAATGTTGAATTTCAACTTAACCTTACAGAAATGGGCTCTGCTGGAAATCCGCTCACACCTTGCTCAGTGAAGCAAAACAGCGAGGTAGAGAGGAAGATATTACACAGCAAAGAGAGCAGAGGGCGTGCATGGCATTTAACAATAAGCAAACACACACTGTGGGGTGGATACAATCTGCGGGATTTCAAAATCTCAACACAATTAGGTGGAAAGTCAAGTTTTCAGCTACTCAATCAAGTGGAGAATGAGGTCGAAACTGCAGCATACAAGTTCCAGTATCAGCCCGCAGAAAATAAAAAGCATTCATGCAAGATGAAATCAACTTAAAATCCACAAATGAAGTGATACCCGATCAGATTTCTTCCCTCATTGAATTACTTGCATTGCTGGTTCACCTCTCTTATAGAATAAACCTGCTGTTTAATCCCTATGTGGCTAACAACTCTCTGAGCAATTCCCTCCAAATATCTGTGTGGGCAATATTTCACTTGCTATTGCAGCTCTGTGCCCTCGAGTGCCTCTACCTGCAGGACGTTGTGCTCCAGTCTCATCTGCAGCATTTTGTTCTCTTCATCCAGACGGCTTCTCTCGGCCTCCAGCTCCTCAATCTTCTGCCTGCAACAAAGAGCAGAAACCCCACAGTCACTCATCCATCTGCTTTCTATTAGCAGTCACTGAACTGGCTTATGAGCATCATTATAAAACATGAAGAATAAAAATCCCGCTCGGACTGCCTCGAATTTAACTGTGTCATTTTCCTCCATCTCAGTGCTCCCACAAACTCCATGATGCAGATTAAAAAGTATATCCACGTAAGGGATTACGAGGCAGTAATATCAGTGGCTCAGATAAGACGCTAACATTCAAGAGTGAAGCTCGAGCATGAACATCTGAATCCCAAAACGAGAGACAGCCTTCTCCTCACTCTCCATCTCGGTAGGATATGAAACCACAAATCCAATACACTCACTGCATACAATCTACTGCCAACTATTACCTTCCAAATGTTTCATTTCAAACACATTCTCGCACATTAATAAAAGAATTGCCTGTATTTTCCAGTTGGTAATTGTGTTGTGAATGACTGGTCTCAGGTGCCAAAAGGCAAGAAAACAAAAGTTTTTATGATGTCATTTGTTTCAAAGAAAGGCATTTTGTTTTCAACAAGAGTAAAGTAAAATATATAGAAAAACTACAGCATGCAATCACTATCTTAAAGTCTGTTCTGTGCCTCTGAAGCTACTTACAAATACGATGAGGGGAGTAATGCAAAATGTGATATTAAACTTGTCGGTCTTAACACAAGTACAGTGACTCACTGCTCAAGCCAATCCAATTTCCATGTCCTAGAATCCATGGGAAGTGGATTTCTCTGGCATTGAAATTAAGTTGTACTTGTCCAATAAAGTAAATTCCACCACCACACAGACACTGCAAAATGTCATTTACACAAGAGAAAGGCAACCAATGTGACATTGGTCTTTATTGGCTTTTAAGTTGCAATAAAAACTTTCAGACTGAAACCTTATATTAAAATGTCTGATAGAAGGAATTTTCTTAAATGTATAAATATTAATCTTTAGATTATCCAGATTTAATGTGCTCTTTTTGCAATATTTCTGTGATCTGTGGAAATATTAATTTAACATCAGATTGAAGGATACCTACAAGTGTTGAATGTTCAGATTTTATTCATTTATTCATTTTATTCATGGAGGGCAGAGGGAGAAAGAGAAGCAACACCTCCATTAGAGCTGTATAATCATCAGCAAAATATTCAATTAATTGATACTTTGCATTACACACGGAATAACAGACAGCATAGCATGGAAACAGGTCATTCAGCCCAATAATGCAGGACCTGATTTTAAGGCCCCATACTACCATGTTATAACCAGGTCTGACTGTAGTACTAATGGCCGTAAAAATATACTTTCTTTTGAACGTCTTTGTTTTCAACTGTCTTGTACTGTAGTTAAAATACAGGGTGAGCATTACTGTGAGAAATCCCATCATAAAAAGGTTTTGCAGCTACCCCTCAGTGTAGGGCTGAATAGCTGGGACAGGGTTTCACAGACCAAGCCCCTGGTGCTGACCATAACTGAAAATAAGATAATAGGCATGTGCCACTTTGGGTGATCAGACCAGATCTTGGAGCTCATTCAGACAACCAGTTTCTTGACTATAATAATAATTGTTGCATTTGATATAACGCCTTATGTTGAAACGTCTTAAAGAGTTTCACAGGATTTACATAAAGTGCAGTGAACAACTCCTCCATCCACAGGCTGCAGATCATCCAGAACTCTGAAGCCTGTGTCCTCTCCCGCACCAGGCTCCATGACCCTATCACCCCCATCCTTGCCCGACTCCACTGGCTTCCCATCACTCAGAGGATACAGTTTAAAATCTTGGTCCTCACCTTCAAATCCCTCCACGGCCTCGTTCCTCCCTACCTCTGTGACCTCCTAACACACTATCAACTTGTCCACTCCCGCTGCTCAGCGGCTCCAGCCTGCTTCACATCCCCCGCCTTGCCCCCACCCCCCACTGTTGGCAGGCGTGCCTCCAGCCTCTCTGTCCCCACCATCTGGATCTCCATCCCACAATCCATCCGCCTCGCCCAGTCACTTTCTTTCTTTAAAATCTCTTCGACCGTGCCTTCCGTCACCCTCCTACCGCTACCCTCCCCACCCTACACCCCTTCTGATCCAAACCATCAGCTCAGGTGCGGATCCCTGACTGGCCAGCGCCTTGGGACGTCCTCCTGGCAAGAAAGGCACTATACAAATGTAATTTGTTGTTGCTTAAGGTCAAGGTGTCAAAATGCAGAGCTGTCTTGCTGCAGCAATGATATGCTGGTCCACTTTGTAAATAGGAAACACTGTTTGTTAAATCTGCTGGTGACATCTAACGGCAGCACATCAATAATGCACCAGTGTAGTCTATTTTTATTGCCTTCCTTTTACAACTGAGTTTCAATGTAAGCAAAGTCAGACTGGTTTTGCACCATCACGAGTATTCACAAAGGACCCACCAAGGCAGGGAAAAATACTTAAAACACATACCAAGATAAATAATAAAAGAAGGTGCACATCAAAGTCTGATCATGGAACATTCAATAAGAAAATGGCGCTTCAATTCAACACTTATCACCCAATGACCTCTACCCGTGAGAGGTCCCTGGCAAGCACAAGACAACACTGTTATTTTCATGCATTTTCTCAGAAACAAGTTGCAAACCTCCGTCAGGGGACCGGCTGTAATGACAGCTGTCATCAGACGCTGTGATTTCAAAGCGATAACACACACGGCTTCTGTCTGAGCAAGAGAGTGATTGTGGGTCTGTGTGTGTGAAGGCTACAGCCATGCTCCTCATCCTTTCAGTACACAGTACCTCTTCCTCGGCCTTAGCACAAGTGGATTTAAAAGCTATCCAGATTGCAAATGAGGTGCAAATTCATTTACTTAGCTAAACTGAGAGTGTTACAAAACTAACCATTATATGGATTACATATTAAAACTGCCTCTCATTACCTTAAAATCTTTCTGAGATTGATTTACCAAAATACTGACGTTTAATGCAGCAGAGAGCTCACAAAGATGCTGGGCAGAAATTGAATTTTTTGCATTGATACAGTAGAAGGTAATATTCCCTGATCTCTGGGAAAATATGAAGCAAACATCACGGGGTGGGGGGGCACAACACCCAACCGTGACCACTGTATGGCATCGACACTGGATGAAAAGTGGAAGGTGCTCAATGTCTGCGGACTGTCCTCCTTTATGCTGCCAATCATACACATAGGTATGCAAAAAAATACAAAAACTGTAGCAAGCACCCTGGGCTGGAAATAGCCCTTTGCTCAGCACAATGAGTTCTGGTTGGAGATTTACAACACAATAAATGAGAATTTTTTGTTGAGCATTAAAGACTGACATTATAAAACCTTCTGGAAGAGGGTCAATAGCCACAAAGCTAAAGGTACGAAACATGAAATTACTATTGGAGTAAGGCTGTCCATTCTGATTATTACTCCCTCTCGTCTCTCTCTTTCATGTTCTTGCAATAAGAAGATGAGTGGATGCTCAGTGATGTCGAACATGCTGTCAATACTTACAGCACAGACTCATACAAGAAGAATGGCTGCTGGGGTGAAGGACCAAAGAACAAGTACCAATGGAACAACACTGCAGCATCAATCAATACTTTCAAGTGTCCAGTGCGAAAAATTGGAAAGAAGAGTAAAATTGGAGTCAAGCTTAGGTTCAACCTTGCCCAGGCTGATGAAAAAAATGTAACTAACTGTAAGAGCTCAGAGTTCAACAGTCTAAACCTAGTTCCAAGCAAACTGCAACTCAAAGCTTCCCATTTGTCTCTAACTGTGCTCCTCTTTGCTCAGTGAGGTCACAAGGAAACCTACTAGGATCCATTACAAGGGAAATAGCCTTTAAATCATAACTAAGGCAGCTAAGGACAGGAAGTATTTGTTCACACAGAGGTTTGTAACAATGTGGAACGCTTTGCCTCAAAAAGTTGTAGAGGCAAAATCAAAAGGGACATTTAAAATAGAAACAGACAGGTGCTTTGGTAGAAGAGGTATGAATGGTTATGGTGAAAGGGCTGGATATTAGGAGTAAAAGATCTAACCACACCTAATAAACTGGTGAAATAGGCTCAATGGGCTTAATGGCCTTTCATGCATCCTTTTGTGCCTAAAATGGAGGTCTTAGTTTATTTCTGAGTTTCCTTTTTAGAGATTAGCTAGTCAAAGCCCGTTCTCGAGAACAAGTGGCTCCTGCATTCAAAACCTTGCTGAAGACCTATCTCTCAACCAAATGGTTGGCCCCTTTTCTCCCCTCCGCTCGGGTTCCCAATCAGCTGTGTGAAATGGTTTGAGATGTCCTCTTAACAGGAAAGGGCTAAATAAATGCCAACTCTTGCTGTTGCTGCATTAAAAAATATTACACCTGTCCTTGGGGTGCTTGCTGCTGATACTGGGTGCAAACAATGAGGAAACACTTCATTTCCTAGCAATGATGCCCCTAACAATGAGCAATGTATTGAATGGAGTAGGGAAGGGGGAGAGATTTTTAAACTGGAGTCGTGTTAGAATTCATTTTCCAAAAAGGTTAACCTAACTCGTCTGATAGCCGTGTGGAATGAAAGCAAAAAATGATATCAATTTCTCATTCTCAGTCATGCTTAATTGAGTTAAACAGTAAAATTGTCAAATCTGAGTAAAATACTGCTGCGGTCAAGGTCTCAGGTGCAGTGCCACCACACCTACACTGGTGAAATAGCTCAAAGCCTATAAATCACATGATATGGCCACAAGGATGAGGTCAGAGCCAGGAGAGAACAACGGTAGAGGACTATGTGGGGCATTGAAGTAGAAAGGGAAGAGACAAAATGAGCTATGATGGGGCAATGAGGACAGGCCTGGTGGAGCATAACAAGTAAAGAAAAAAGTTTCGCCCACAAAATATACAATCAATTCACTTTACAATGTAGTCTGTGCAGCGATTTGAGATGTCTCAATGCCTGATAACGGGCTATTTCAAATGCAAGGATTATTATTATTTTATTATAAATCCACTATGAGATAGTAAAAAAATCTGAAAATGCAGGGAAAAAAACAAACAAGCCGTCGAATAAAAACATACAACGGATAAAAGATTTGCACATTGCAGGAGGTTTTTAATTACAGTGTAGAAGGAATTTATAATATGCAAATTGGACCCACAAACACAGGTAACATTATGAAGTTAGCCCAGTCCAGCTGGTTAATGTAGTATTTATGAGCCACTGGAGCTTTAGAGCTGCACAGTTAGAACTCACAATAATTAGCAACAAGCAGCGAATATGCAACTGGCTGCAGGACACAACTCATTGCTTGTGTTCAGAGTTCAGTGCTCAATCCTGTACCTTAGTGGTTAGAACACTCGCCTCGCAAGCGAGAGGACCTGGATTCGATTTCCGGGCAGGGTGAAACGTTGGGTAAGCTTCCTTACTCCACATGGCTCTGTTTACCTAGTAGTAAGTAGGAACCCAGCTGTTAGTCAATTGGCGGATCGCTTTTCTGAGGGTAAAAATCCCTTCAAATACATAAATAATTTGGTCACTCAATCCACGAACGTTTGTGGGACACCGCTGTGTGCAATTGGTTGCCGCGTTTCACCCAAACAAAAAAATATACAGTCAATTCACTTTACAGTATATTCTGTAAAGCTCTTTGAGACATCTCAAAGACGTGATAAGGCGCTATATCAAATGCATTTATTATATTATTATTATTATTGTTTTAAGTTCTGAAAGGACTACCAAAGCATATGCAAAGTGAGAGTTTATGCCCAACATTTTATCACCGTATTTATACCCCTGCCCTTCTGTCACTGCAACTGTTTCCCTGGACTTGGAGCCATGAAAATCAAATGAACAGATTGTTGCAACGACCACTGGCAATGTGCTAATGCTGCTGATTCACGCCTTCAATGCTGCAGCAGCAACAACTTGAGATAGAAATATGGCTAATAACCCAGAAAGCCCTCTGGCAGAAGGACTATTAAATGGAGTGGAAAGTTTTCAAAAAGTTCTCCAAATGTGAAAGAGAAATAATTTGTGCTACGCAGGTAATCTGGCAGAATAAAAGAGCAATTTAAATATGCTGCAAATGAAAATCAGGAGCCCCGAGGAAGGAGAATGGAGCATGGATTGGAAGATAAACCACCTTCAAAGAATGATAGGAAGGTATCTCACTTCTGCATAGACTAGTCTAAACAATATGGTCATAGACTGGCAGATCTGGGCTCTATTGTCAACTGTGTTTCCCTCATTGATTTCACCCTTTTCACTAAGTACAGGAACTAGGAAGAGGGTTAGGCAAAGAGCTAAATGGAGTCAAAATGTCACACTAATTAGAGGAGGAATGAAAGCAAAAACAATTAGTTTCCATTCACCGAAATAATCTAACTTTCTGTTAATACGATATTCTGGAAGGTGACTTTATTTAGGATCTTTCTCAAGTGTAGATGCCTCCAACCTTTCTCACCTCAGTGCATTTCCCTCCTCACTGGTGATGCAGTTGCTGCTGTCAGTGGTAGCAACCTGGCTCTTGAGAACACTCAGCTCTGCTTCCAGCTGCGAAAGGAAACAAAGAGATGATGTGACTTTTCTTTGTTGTGCATGAGCTTGTTAATTGAAGAAATGATGAAACTCGCCAACAGACAAAAGGACTGTCAGAGTTTTGTGTGTATGTCAAGGAGAACAATGATGTGCTCAGGAATACAAGTCTTCCACATTAGACTATGTGCTCATAGAGAATGGAATTTAATAAGTGACAGAAGCGGCATATCACACCCTTTGCTGCTGCCACATGGGGGTCTGGAGTCATGTTACTTGTGACGTTCAGAGCTTAAAATATGTAAGCTCAGGACATTGGGATGTCGGGACTGCTCAATTTGGGGGACTTTTTGATTAGCGACTATCAATTTTTTTGTTCTGTGGGTGAATGTTTGTATGGTGAAGCAAGGGATGCCTAGGCTAAGGTCTGGAACAATTTTACATTGCTTTGCACATAACTTGGCATATAACACATTCAATCCTCATCTACAGGTAAGGTTCCGATCACCGTGCCTAGAACAGCGCCTTAAGGTCAATTTCAGAAGTTCACAGTACTATGGCAGTATGACATTTCTTACGTCCCTGCATGAGACTGGCAAAGCCTCTGGACTGTAGAGTCATGGTGAGTGGTAACAAATTGAAGATGACCCCTGAATTATTTCACATAAAATCCTTTTAAAAAAAGAATGATTTTCATTCTCATCTCATCTCCAATTAAAGATGTTCGGATACTCTCGGAACGCAGGCTCAGTCCAATTATCCCTCTCCTCCCCAAGACCCATCACGTTGGACACATTGGTCCTCGTGCATACAACACCAGCCTCCAGTACCTACAGCTATGCCACCAGATGGATGCTCCACAAATACCATTCAAACCAAACGTGTGAGCCAATGTAAGGAAACAACAGCTAGTGCTTTAGAACAGCTAGCACTGTGTATAAAACACAGCACACACCCGTGTGTGCCAGTAACTGCTCTCTATTTCAGTAAATAACTTACTGTAACAACAAATTTAATTGAACCTTTAACTGACAAACTTCTCTGTGCATTCTGTGCTTTTAAGCAAGGCTTCGTTATTCAGTTAGATTCAAACCTTTCATTTTCAAAGTATAATTTATAAACTTGCGCCAATTGCATTTTATTTTAAAGCTGAATAAAAATAGCCAGTCCAGTGCAAAGAGTTCTCTGCTGCTTCAATGCGATGTTCCATTTGCAGGGGTCCAATTTCTAGTTAAGTAAAAAGCATCTTACATCCACAGGGTTCCCCTGTGCTTTCTGTAATCTGGTGAACAAAATTACTTTGTGCAGCTTTTATGTTCTCTAAAAGGTTGGAACCTAAATAGCTTTTTTTTAACCAAAATGTGAATCATGAAAAAGAGAGGAATTTATACAATTCTATAATCCTGTGTACATTCACCATCCTCCTGTCTAATCACATGATTACACATGCAAAAATAATAATAATAGTCCAGACATTTCATACAGAGTCTATAATATCAGAACGACTCAAAGCACTCCACAGATAATTGCTGTCAAGTGTGATGCCTGTTCATTTGTAAGCAAAAGTATGTGTGGTTTTAGCTGTAGACGATTTGGCTCGAAATTCAGTACCAAGACACTGATACCAAGACATTGATATAGGAGGAATATTATAGTTGAAAAAAATTGTCAAAAGTTAAATAATCCACTGGGACAAAGTAATAATGCCTCACAGAAAAGCTTGCTGAATTGGGGGAAGAGTTCTATCTAAAGGATTTGAGACTGTGTAGTACCATATTGCAGTTTGATTTTCTCTCTATGAACAGATACTCAAAACAGTTTCAATGAACTGAATGCAGATGGTGCCATCTAGTTCCCGCTCACAAATGTTGCCAGTTAGAAATTGTCTGTGTTTTTCAGTCAGGCAGCTGTGCTTATTGGAGACGTGAAAAGGGACCAAAATGTATTGAAAAATCTACAACATTTCTATCAGGGATTATAATAGCACACTGCAAATTTTTTTAAAATTGCTGGAATAGAGAGCTTGGATAGTTAGTGCTTTCAGTATCAAATGCCTTTTGTATCAGAACACGATCATTTGTAACGATGAACATAAATGTCTGAAATCAGCCAAAGTCAATTTGAAATCAGATCCATTAAAGTCATTATTTATAGATGACAAAAAGCTGTCATCGCAATCATTCACACGGAAACAGGGAAAAAATTTACAGTCACCATCAGTAGCTGTGAAAACGCTCAATACTCTTTCACGTGGGAAGATAGAAACAGCTTCAACAGAAACAACCACTGCTCAGGGTTCAGTCTATGTCAAACTATCTGCATGTTGCTCTTACGGTTTAAGAAGACATCTAAAGTCACATGACTTCTTAGCTCTGTGGTACATTCCCAGTTATATCTCATCCTATGTGCTGTAAGGATATAAAATGCGTGCCTTAATGCTGTATTAGTCACTCCTCGAGTTTGCTTGTTCCAGTACCTCAGCAGCAAGTCCAAAGCCTGCGAGTGTAGTCTTTGCGGTAAGACTATTGTACAGACCACTTTATATCAAGTGCCAGCCATCCAGGTATTTTAGGGTTGTCTGTCATGGTTGGTGTTGGTACCATTTCAGGCACAATGTGGCCAGAGATATTGTTTTCTAAAGAGGAGCTCAAGCAAAACATGAACCAGAAACACTGCCTAATCCTTGCTCCCAGTTATATCCAGGTTTCAATCTAAGATTTACAGGAAATATTTGCTCGAAACCGGAGGATGTCTTTCATCAACTTCAATTGGCAAGCTCTAATTCACAGGAAATTAACAAACCTATGTATATGGTCTTACACAAGTCTGAAATTTAATTTGCATTTTTTATGTAAATTAATAACCATCACATAGGATGCAGGGACATATTGTAGTAGGCATTCCCCAGGCTTTGTGCAGAAATACAAAGTCACAAGCAGATTAATAAGACAATAAGTCAGTGCATGGCATCTTTAAAAATCTAAACAACATTATATGTCATTTGGGGAGTGCAGATAATAATAATAATAATCCTTGCATTTGATATAGCGCCTTATCACGTCTTCGAGAAGTATCAAAGCGTTTCACAGAATATACTGTAAAGTATTTGTGGGCGTGATGCCATTGATATGCATCCCTGTCTGTATTCAGCAGAGAGGAAAATTAAAGTGCTCCTGAAACCTTTAACACCAGGTGATCGGAAGTTAGTGCTCCAGTGAAATCAGTGCCATCCATTTCATACTAATGCTATTTTTTCGGAGAATTGCTGGCAAAATCAAGCTATGAAACGTGCAGCAGAAACTCAGCATTCGATCACTAATACCAAGATATAATTGTTCAAATACCATTCAAATTTCAACCTATTTCTCCCTTTCTGTTGCTGTAATACTGAACCAAATTTAGTACACCCGTGGGTGAGAGATTACAATAGATGTGCACAATCTCTCTGACTCTCAGATTATTCTACCTAAATAATTCTCCAGAAGCAGAATCCTAAACAGTTCTAAGAACAGCTGCTGTCCTTTTCCTACCAAATCCAAAGTGAAGGTAGTCTTATATTGAGGTGTCTCTAGACCCCTTTTAACCAATAAATTGGAGCTATTTTTACTGGAACAATAAAAGATACGAGGGAATTTAATAGAGGCCTTCAAAATTCTGAAGGATTTTGAAAGGAGAGTGAAAGATTATTCCCAATGGCAAGTGAATCGATTATAAGGTGGCATAAGATGTCACTGGAAACATTTTTGAGCAGAGTACAGTTAGAACACGGACTGCTTGCCCACAGCAAGGCACAGAGACAGCGAATACAACACTTAAGGGGAGACCAATAAGCATTTCAAGATGACCAGTATAAAAGGCTAGGGAAAGGGAGTCAGGAATCAGGATTCAAGTATTTAGTTCCAATAGGTTGGCGAGCACCAGGAGAGGCCTTCTTGTCTGCTGCAATTTCTATGATTCTATGATCAGTCAGAATTCTATGATCAGTCATCTCTCATCCCTCTCATGGTCTACTTTAAAGACTGATTTACCAGACTATTTGGGGGGCTATTCTAGGTCCGAAGCCTGCCTGAACAGAAAAACGATGCATCAATCTCCTTCACTGGAGAATGTAAGAAATTAATGGACCCTTGAACCAGGCGAGGCACCTCCTTCCAAAAATGATGTAAACGAAAACTCAGAACCACTGAGCACCTGCTACAGACGCGAGGCATGAATTATGCACAAAGTCTCTGCAGCAAACAGCAGCTCTCCACCTCCAGCCAACAATATTACTGTCAGTCTTCCGACCTAACTCTATTCAGGGTTTTTAATCAGAAAGGGGAAATTAAATTTGAGTCTCACCCGGACCCTAAAACAGAAATTTATCTCTCTCCTTCCTCCCAATATCCAGACAACTTTCGATTATAAGCAGAAGCCTTGGGTGCTGCAGGGAAGACTAATATAGCATTCATCACCAGTGCTGCGATGCTAGGCTTCAGAAAGGCTCCCCATACCTTAAGTGACAATAAAAGATGAATAGGATGTAGTGTGGATGCCCTATTGGACACCATACACCACAAGGCATACTGTCTGGCCAGGAATACACACACCCCATTACATTTCCCTCCTTCTGGAAAAAAACAATTATCTGCCTCAAATTTAATTCAATTTACTTTCACAATCTCCCAAAATATATACATTCATTTCCCCTCAGCTACTGAAATAAGACTTTGCAGCTTGAACAGAAGATCAAACACAGATATAGTAGTCTCTCTCAATCAGGTGCAACTAGCCATGGAAGATCAGTGCAGATGAACTCAAAGGCAAGTCTTCATTCTGCAATATTAATTTCATACTTTGCCAAAGTCTCAGTTTCCCCAGGTACTATGTAAAATTAGACCGCCAGCAGAATCAGACAATATACTTATAACACTATAATAATCTCAAGGGTTATTATTATCTCTATACCGCCTCCAGCAGCAAGCATTCACCTACAGCTCTCTAACTGTTTGGGCATTGGATCACTAACATTAAATCGG